TCATGCTCTAAGTAATACTCAAGAAAAGTTTGGGAAACAAACTGGAAATTTGTTGAGCACCAAGAATGATGCACCAGTGTAATATGCCTCAGCTCTGGGAATTTATCTGGGGTTGTAACTTCTAGTTTAATGMACTGTACATATGTGTAATGTAATCATATACATATATATCAGTCCGGGGAGTGTGGATAGTGGACAGAGCAATCTTGAAATGGCTAATGGGATGAAATGTGATCTCACAGGTATAGCTGAAGATTTATGAGAAAGTTCTTTTAAATATTTAATGTTTAATATCGGWTATTAAAAAGTCACTGGTTAAAATCCCTGTAGGAAGGATGGAGTTTCAGGAAGTGGGGAGGTTTCCTGTGAGGTCTCTGAAAACCTTGGAATYGTGGTGTCTGGAATACTTGCACATCTGCTTTCAAGATAAAAGCCTCTGCATCCACTGCCAATGGTCAAATCTCATTCTGTGGCAAGAGATGAATGAACTGTCACACACAGAAAGGAAACTCTGTTACAGGGACTTTCTGAGCTGCAGAACAACGGGTAAAAACACCTAGCTTTTCTAAAAACTGTGATTCCTAATTATAAAGGAATGTAGTACAATACATTCCTTTATACTAGGTGACTCCTGATTAGACCTATCTATATTCATTGCTCACTATAAGATTATAATGAATTGGAAAACTATTTAGGTTAAGAAGAAAAGCTGAAAGCTTCAGTGAAGAAATAAAGATAGCAAGAGATTTAATTCAACCTTTTTTTTTTTTTTGCATATTATCACATCAAAAATCAAGGGATTCAGACTTTTGATAAAAGAAGTTAAATTATTAATCAGTGCTTTGTATGATTGCCCATTTTTTTTTTTTAAACGGAGGAAAATAAAAATACTACTATTCGTAGCTCAACATCGGGTAGATCAAACTGACAATGATCAACACARGACACTTGAGAAATGTTTTAGAATTGCGTTTAGAAAGCAATGGAATATAATTGTAACATAACCATGATGTAATACTTTCATTTCCAGTGGTAGTTAATCTGCTAAAATGGAAACTCTCGGCCTGGATAAACTGTACTGAAAGCTTCTGTTAGTTTTGCATTTCCAGCAGGAGCTGTTTGAGTTATTGACGTTGGTTGCAATCGAATCTTAGAGCACACAGTAAGAACAGGCCAGGAGTGGGTTGTCTGTTAAAAATGAGATTTCTAGTGTGGTCTCTGAGCTAGTGCATGGAGAGGAAAGCCTGAATAGAAACTACAGAACACTTCTTTATAGTGAGAGACAGCTCAGAGCAGCCCAGGGCTGCTCAGCCCACGCAGCCTCGGCCTCCTCAGCCACCAACTCCTGCTGCCCTGGTGAAGGCTCCATCAACCCTGGGCTSATGGACCCAACTTCTCCCCAGCTTTCCTTTCTCTGTAAGGCTCTCGCAGTCCTTTTCTGTGACTTGGTGTCCCAGGACCTCTAGAGACCAAGCTCTTTTACACCGTAATCTTGACTGCAGGTGGAAAGCATGGCAAGAAGCTTTCCTTGGGCCTTGTGTGGCCTTGATTTGCAGGGCCTTCATCACAGCCACTTTCCCATTTGAAATTAGGATGTTTTGGAGCCTGAGGCAGTTGCTCCTGTTTCGCTGAGAGTGTCTCAGTGTTTGATCTGCAGGCAGCATTTTCCCCTGCAGCCTTCGCTGGCGGCTGAGATCGGCAGCCGTGGTTTGCGCTCTGCATTGTGTTGTTCTTTGGTCTTTCTGCTTGCATTTTTCTGAGGTGTTTCCACATGACGTAAACACATTCTTACTGTTATCCTGTTTGATTTGTATGCCGYTCGTCAGCATTTAGTGTGCTTTGATGTACAGTGGCAACCTGAGGTGCGTGTGTGTACGTCTCTTACCAAGCAGTCTCTAATGACTTGCATTTTTCATGGGATTCTTTTTTGCCTTTTGTTTTGTTTTCCTTCACCTCTTTGAATGTTTGYATGAGTTCAAAACCAAGATGTGGTCTGCTTTAAAATCCCCTCCAAGGGCGGACTTGCTTCATAGTAAGACGCTGGAATGAATAGCTGGCAATGCTAAAATGAGAAGAGTGTGAACTTAAGTGGAGATGCAATACCATCTTTTTTTACTGTGCAATTTGTCACTGAGATGCGAAAAAATGCTGAAATAGGAGAAAAATTCTTTGTGAAGTCCTGAATTTCTGTAAATCCATCTGGATACCTGGAACAGCAGCATGAAGAATGCCGAACATGGGTTCCAACTGCAGACATAGCGGCTCCAGGCTCTGGCCATGTGGCAGATACACCCTAACCACTAATACAGGCTAAGTCAGTGTCCTTGGGTCCTGCTGTGCTCCTTGGCCCTGCCATGCAGTGCTGCCTAGAGGACCTGAGGTGTCAGCACTGTTGTCCACAAAGGCATCATGGCACTGGGAGATGAGCGGTGTGATGCTTCCAAAACAGCCCTGCAGACAGCAAGGCCCRCAGGTGATTCATGAATATTTGCATTTTGCAAATGACTTTTCTGCTGGGATGGATGAATCACATCTGGTGGTGGCAAGAGGTTAAGGCAGATAAGGCTGTTCTTTCCATGAAGGGTGGTGTAGCTGTCCCTGGCCAGGGTGCCCCCTCACAGCAGCACGGCACATAGTGAGCAGCTATCAGAAACTCTTTCCTCCACCTTGTTTAGCCAAGTTCCTTCATTTATCCCACAGCTGTGAACTCTCCCTGGCCTGGGTGAGGATCACCTCAGTGGTGCCATCCGTAGCCTGGGCATCACTCATCCCTGCTGCAGGCTAGCCATGGAGAGGCCCTGCATCTCCTGCAGGGCTGTTGTGACCGCCCAAGCTGCCTTCACAGTGGGACAGGAGGGCAGCTGTGAAAAATTTCCATGATAATATGGTGGCGTCTGGGGGCAGGAAGTGCTGATGATCTAAACTTTTTCCCTTGGGCTGTTGCTTCTAGTCTTGGCTGAGACTGTGGGTAAGCGTTAGTGGCTGTCTTGCAGCCTTGCCTTGGGTTTATCTTAATCTCGGAAACAAGATTTGCCCTGTGATAGTGGCTGGGAGGCAAATGTGGTGGCCTGTGCCTACAGAGTGAGTTTGTGCCCTCTCCACCCTTGGAGAGCTCTGGCCATGGTGGGACCTCTCATAGGTGACRTTGGCTTCAAGTAGTTGAGGGGCTCAGGGACTGTGAAATAGAGGGTGGGCATATAGACAGATGAGCACTATGCCCTACCTCTGGTGTCATGAGTGGAGCMGGAGGCTGGGCAGAGAGAGCCCTTCACACTTCTCCTAGGGTTTGGTGCCAGGTTCTGGCTCTGCACAGGTGCTTGCACATGGGGCCATCGCCCCATGTTGGCTCTGCTTTGCCTAGGAAGGAGCCTAACAGCAGCAGTCATGATGAGCAGTTTGGGGCTTGTTAGAAGAGCAGATACAAACAGAAGATGTTTCCTCTTTGTTTTGTGTAAACACAGCTACAGGAAATCGAGCTGCCATGGGCAGGAAACGGAGGTTACTGAGGACAGGGACAGGACAGGCAGCAAGGGGTAGGTGCTTCTGGCAGAGATATGTTCAAGACAGGTGCCTCATGCAGCTACGTGATGGGAGCCTATGAGCACCTGTGCTGTGTCCACCTCTGATCTTAGAGACATAATTCCTTCCAGCTGGGAAACAAGCTTGTTGCAGTGTGGACTAAAGCATTTTCTTCCTATCAGTGTCTGCTCCAGAGCAGATGGCAACACCCTCTTACTTGCTATCCTCTGCCAAGGAGACAAGAGCAGTGACTGTGCTAAAAATTGTCCTGCATCAGCCTGAGGTTATCTTAGATGCCAGCTCTTGCTCTGCACTTTATGGCTATGATCCGTGGGGATCAGAGCTTGACAGATCTTGATGTAGTCCTCTGCATCTATGCTCTCAAGTCAAACAGAGCCCCAGGCTTTTGTCTGTAAGCCAAGACACATCCTGCAACAACTATATTCTGCGGCAGATAAATCCCTTTTGTTGCTTCCTTCCTCTAAGTAGGTTTGATTGCGTTCTTGAATAATATGTTTTCCTTGAGCTTCTTGCTGCCCTTAACACTGCAAAATATCAGCTGCTGAAATGAAATATGGGGAGGCCTTTGATGACTGTGGGAGGGGAGGCTGAAAGGGCAGAATTTAAATGAAAACCCTGCTTTTCACGTGTAAATCTGCGCTTCCTGATGTGTGACTTCTGAATGCAGATACCGAGTGTGGTTGTCTCAAAATGGATTTTGGCAAAACCATGCCTGGATTACTTTGTGAATATTAAATGGGAAGCTGAGTTCAGAGTAATCTTAAATTTAGAGTAATCTTAAAATCCTCAGGAGACTGCAAAATTAATTAAGATCCAACTATCACCAGAATCTCTGAGTCCAAAGATATTAGAGATGTCTGGAAGGTGACCTACCCTGTGATGTGCAAGCACCACTAAATAAAGTGCTAGTGCCAGTACCAGAGGGTTACAATCCTTCAGTGTGATACAAAACCACTTTCTGAGGTGCAGTGACTGTGGAGAACAGTTGGGATTGTCCTGGATGAGCAGCTCCCCACAGCTTSTCTGTGGGAGGCGGCAAAACCAGAAGTGTTTGAACTGGAACATGAAGACAAGGAGCAGAGACCAAAGACGAGAGCAGGTGACTCCTCTGCAGAGAGACTGCAGCTCAAACTGTAATGTCTAAGGACTCTGTGGAGCAGTTCAGATCTGGACCATAACTAACTTACTGGAAAAATAATACAGAGGGGGCTTATTCCTGTAATGGAGGAAGACTGGTGAAAAGCAGCCTAATTGGGTGATAAATGAAACACCTGGTTTGCACAGGGAGGGGTGATTGACTCAGGGAACAGACTAGGAGGAGAACAGGGAACTCTTGATTTGAGATGTCCTTCCCCCTGTGCAGGAGGCAAGGTTCAGCCAAAGGTTAATTGCCTTAATTGTGCTAATTATTTAAAGATAAGGTAAAGCTGTGGCTAGTTTTTCCTGGGGAGATTGTGCTGGGCAGGAGAAGAAGCTGCACCATCTTGTCCCAAAGGCAGCTGAGTCCTGTTGCAGCAAGGATTGTTCTACAGCCTTTGGCTACTGATACCTGGACTGCAGGGAGATTTGTGCGTCCTGTTTGTCCTAATCTGAAGTCTTGTCTACACTGCCTAGCTATGAGTGCAGTGAAAGCTGTGTTGCTCTGACCTTGGCTAATACGAGGCTGCTCATCACCCTGTTTGCAGGTGTCCTTGCCTTTCCCTCGGTGTCTGATGTCTTTGGGATGGCAGTTGTGGAAATGTTCTTCTGTGGTTCTTCTATGTACTTCTAAGYGAAGTGACCCTTCAGTCCTGCCTGTGTTCGTCAAAAAAAGCAGTCAAAAGGAGAGTGTGAAACTCAGCTAACCAGCAGCTGCTTAGGGATCTGAAAGTGTTTACAAGAAAGGAAACCAACTCTGAAATCAGCCTTGGTGATTTTACCTGACCGGATCTGTGCTGCCTTTCTGCTCGTTTGAGGACTGGGTCTCCCTCCAGGTGCTCTTAGCAAGATCTGCTTGGTGTGCAAGGGTCTGAGGGACTAAATGGAAACCTGTGGGGCCACCTCCTCATGTGGACAGTTCAACCTGGCCATCGCTGGCTCTCGTGGTGTGAAGCTGCCTGTGCAGATTGAGGTGAGCAAGCACAGCAGTGGACACCGGAMAAAGCAGACGCTGGGGACCACTGAACAAGGTAAGGGAAAGAGGGAATTCCAGCCTTAGGGTGCGGAGGGGGCCCTGCTCCAGGTGTGGGTCTGGTTTGTTGCTTGGAATGGATTTGGCTCTGGGAGCAATGCGGCAGGACAGGTACTCAGCTTCTATCCAACTTGGGAACTGGTTGATGGGAAGCAATTCGTTGCAACCCCCCTTTAAAGCTGATCTGAAGAGATAAGGAGTTCTCAGTCCCACTATCAGTAGGTATTTCCACTAGATAATTTAAAAAAAAATAAAAAAGGTGTTTTCCTCCACCACCACACTGGTTCCGTGCTCTGATGGGGGGTAGAGCAGCCCTGCCCACTCTGCCCTCTTCCTGCCTTGGAGGCTGCTGCTGTGGGTCTGGCAGCAAAGGGGCATTTGGCTCAGCCCCAGGGCTTCCCATAYCACATAGTCCATGCAGCATGAAGCAGCACTGGAGGAAGCGGTGTATATTAGTGGATGGATGTATCTTAGTGCTCTGCTGCTCCTGCTTGGAGGGATCCTTCAAGCCTCACTCCTTGTCTTGCCTGCCTGTCCTGTTGTGTCCCAGCTGGTTCTTGATTAGTGTCAAGCCCTGGGTCTTCTAGAGAAAGCCATGGTGTGGTGAGCATGGAGAACCACGCTCCCAGCAGAACCGATCCAATTCCGCTTTCCAAAACCATGGTATTCTACTTTAAACCTCCAGAAAAAGCAATGGACTAAAACTGCATGATGCCTAGGGCATTTGGCTTTATTAATGTGTTTATCAGGCTTGGGATTAAATGATGTTCCCTGTTTTCCTCCTAATATGTGACTGTTCCCTTAAGTATCTGCTTGAACACCAGGTTGATGGTTTGTTTTTCCATGCTGGCTGATGAAGGGAGCTCACTGAACAAATGCTGTGGGAAATCTCCCTCAAAGATACAAGATCCTTGTCCCAAGTGGAATTTGACTCTTTGTACTGTATTTGTGATGTTTAGCATGTTTGCTAGTAGAATTTACTGTTGAGTTTGCTTTCTTAGTTCAAAATGCAGTTTGATTGCATATGTGGTGGGCTTGCAAGGAAGTGGTGTAGGTGGCTGGTGTGATAGAGCATAGCCCTCATTAGCTCTTGAGTTTTATTACTGGACACATCATCTTCTTCTGGCAGGAGTGGTGAGAGGTGCATAGGTGCCTTGAGGTGGTRTCAAGGCATGTGCTTGGCCTGGGCAGGACCTCCTTCACCTGGGGAAACAGCAGYGGTCAGAGGGGTTAGTGAGAAGCCAAGAGCTGCAGAGTGCCCTGGACCGTATTTGTTCTGCAGTGGCAGTGCTGGCCAAGGGAGAGGTGCAAACAGCTCTGTGCATGGACACAGTGATGTTCTATCTACCCAAACACACAGGAAAAATACCCTTTGCCTACCTCCATCATCACCTGCATTTGCTTTGGTCTTTCTTTTTACCTGCCCACGCGTTTTGGCTGCTCCAATAAGCACACGAGGAAACTGCTCTCCCACTGCCGAGTGACTCAGAGCGTCGCCCTCCAGGAAGGCAAGAGATCATCGCGCGGGGCTGATAACGGCGGTGACTCCCTAGCTTGGCAGGCAGCGGGACACCTCGCCTCCCCGGGCATCCCCACCTCCTCAGTTTCAAGTGAGCTCCGGAGATCAAAGAGCGGAGCAGGTCGCTGCCGCCTGCGGCTGCGTCACCTTTGCACGGTGCAGGCGGGGACTCCTCCCGGGGGCGGCTTTTCTCTTCCCTTTCAAGCTGCTTTTCTGCCTGCTCTGCCCTTTACTGCAGCCCGTTGCTCCCCATGAGTGTGTGGGAAGGGGGTAAAATGGCTCTTGAGCAGAACAGGGCAAGGAAGCCCTGGAGTAACCCTGGTGGGGGAGAAGACCTGGCCAGTGCAGGAGGAGCTGTGACCTCAGGAGAAATGGGAAGGTCGTTCCYGATGCCTGGGGGACTCCTGCACTGCTCTGGCTGTGTTTCAGCCCACCAATGTCCAGCRTGGATCTTCAGCATTAGGTTAAGTTTGTGGAAACTTCCTGTGAGCATCTTCCCATGATGGTAACCTAGCATTTTAGGACAGCAGTGGCACTCGTGCTCAAGCATGAGGGACAGGCAACCCTAGCAAAGAGAGAAGTGGGAGAGCTCCCACCTGAGCTCAACTGCTCAGGTTTGGGAAGGCCACATCTGCTGGCAGAGAGCCAGTTGTCCCCATCCCATGCAGGGTCTGATTTCTCARCCACTTGGATGGCAGCAGCTGAGTGAGGCCCTGCACTTTGCCCCACTCTGGCCCCAAGATGAACCTGTGACTCTCATGTTTGAGATGATATTTGCCTTAAGATATAGCTTTGCTTTAACTTGGGTACTGTTTGTGCGCCTGTTTGTTACCAGTGTGCTCAGGGGCCAGCCCCAATTCCCTGGTTTTGCTCGGAGTGTGATGGTGCTGGTGCAGCGGTGTTGTGCTGCAGATGGAGTTCGAGCAGAGACCACTAGATGTCTGTATACACCAGGCCTTGATGTGCAGCGTGTGAGGTTGGAGGCTTGAAAATAACAGAGAGAAACAAGGCACGTTGGTGCACAGAGAGCGCACAAAGGGGCAGAGGAAAGGTGCCCRTGGATGGTGCATGAGCAGGAGCTGCTCTGCAGAGGCCGAGGCTGTTGCTGTCAGCTCATGTTTCTCCAGAGGGATGTGCTTCCCTCAAGAACTGCATTTGGATCTCCCATCCCTGCTGCCCCATCCCCAGGTTCTCCTCGTGCCAAGGGGCCGCCTTGGGGAGAGCTGCATTTATTTCCCTTTCCAAGCAGCTGGCTTGGCTCCCTGGCTGCAAGGCAGACATGCTGCCAGTGCTGGCCATCTACTAGCCACCAGGTTGCCCAACTGCCAGGTCACAGCACTGAGGAGGAAGCTCAGCCCTCTCACAAAACGCTCCTAAACCCACTAGAGGGCATGGAAGGTCTGCGAAGGGGCTGGGTGGTCTCCAAGCCTGCTGGAAGTGCCAAGCTGCTGTGCGGTGGCATCCTGTAAAGGGGGCTGTATCCTGTGTGTCCTAGTTATGGTATGGGGTGCTTGTGGCATCTGTCACTTCAGACCTATCCCTGCTGCTCTCACTGAGTTAAGGGACTTTATCAGGATGAACTTGGAGGCTATACCTGGTAGGGAGTGTGACCTGCTACATCTGTGCRTGGCATTGCAGTTCCCAGGAATACTTACACATCCCAAAGGTGCACATTGGACTTAGGTCCTGTCCCCTGTGAAGATCAGCACAGTTCCTTAATGATGCAATCTCTGCTGATTCTTTCCACCTCCTGACACAGCTGATAGAAATGAGTGGCTGATGGAATTGCTTGGTTTGCTGTCCACTGAGTTCTTACAGTGCCTGAAAGTGATGTAATGCAGGTGCAAGGTGCCTCTGTATGTCCTTTCCCAGTCAGCTCAAGGCTGTAGCCTTCTCCCTCCACATGAGYTGCTTGACTGGCTCTGATGTGGTTTGTGGTTTCATGTAACACTGCTCATGTGGCCCTCAGACTTTTGATTTTCTGAATCACCAATGAGTGCATTTCCAAGTGTAAGTGTGCGCCTTGCTCGGGAGGTACGTGCAAAGGCAGAGGAGAGGCACCAAGAGAGGCAGCTTCTCCCAAGCAGAGCCGCAAGGTCCCTGTGATTACCTGAGAAAAGTGTGCGGTGCCAGGAGGTGCCCTGCCGGGCACAGCCCTCCTGAGCCTCGGGAGGGCTCCAGCTCCTCTCCAGCACGAGACAAGTCAGATCCCCTGGCAGTGAGATGTTAGGGGCTTCCATCTCTCCATCCCTGCTCCCCAGATTATAACACCTCATCGATAGTCCAATACAACATTTGGTTTATTGGCGTGAAGGAAGATTCAAACAGTCCTGTTGAATCTTGAATTGAATCTATTGAATTCATTGCCCACGAATCTTGAATGGGCAACAATTAGGCAAATAAAGAGTATATGCTGGTGTCCCCAACTGCCAGCGTGCAGGTGGCAGGGAGGGCAGGTGTGCGGCTGTGGTTGGCACATGGTGTTGAGTCAATGTGTTTTGTGCCAAAAGCAGCAAAGCAAAGAGCAGCAAGTAATTTTTGACGAATCCTGGGGCAAACTTGTAAGTCCCACATGGWTTTGGATAAGAGCCTGAGTCCCAGTGGATGCTGTTGCCATCTGGAGTCCTACTCCACTGCAGCTGTGCTTGACCCCACGTGATATTTTAGTCAGGTGCTTAATGTTTGATTATACTGGCCTGTGCTGAAGGGCAAGTAATCCAGAGAGAGCAGGGTCTGCCAGCAGCAGGACTAGCTCTGCTTCTTCTGGAAAGGCCTTAGCAACTACTACTCAAGCTGCAGGTTTAATCTGATTTTGTGATGCAGAGAGGAGGCAGGCAGATGAAGGTGGTGACTGCATTCCTGCCTTTCTCTGTTGAGGGATATTTGGTAGCAGGCAAAATGTTGAACGGATGTTTTGATCTAGAAAATTGGGTGGAAGAATGAAGAGAGTTGAGAAAACATGAAATTCCCTTGAGGAAAGGGCCACCAGCTCTGGTGCTCTGCAAGAAGAGCCATTGTAGATAGACCCTGGGGCAATGTTCCTCCACTTTGGTAGGCTAGGAACAACAGGGAGCCCAGGTCAGTGCAGCTGTAGAGATGCCTCTGCAGCCATGAGGGCCTGGGAATGCCACCTCTTTGGACTTAGGGTGACAGATGTTGCACAGCTGAGGATCCAAGGTGCTGTTCCAGAAAATAAAATACTTAAGAACCAGAACAGCAGAGTCCTGCTAGCGAGCTTACAGTAACTTTGAGGCTTTCTGGTATATACGTGCCCTTGCAAAGGCATCTTCAGCGTTCTGCTTAAATGTTGGTGGGCTTGATGCAGCGTCTTAGCATGCTAGCTAAACCACAAAGAAAGATCTTCTGAAGCCTGACCCCATTAATCAGCAAAGCGGAGACTCCCTTCCTCTGCTCAAGCATTTTGTAGCCAGGGCATTTTGTAGCCTGGTGTAAGTGCAGGGTTCTTGTGCTCTTGTGGG